TCTGCAAATTGATGGACGATCCGCATTTTTTTGCACTTAAACTGCTTTAGTGTGTATAATTGTGTGTGTACTTTAATTGGAAATTTAAAAGAAGGCAAAACTCTCACAGGCATTTAGTACATGAGTACCCTTAACCTAGTATTTACAGTATTTGCAGCTTCTCCCTTGATGATTTGTTGATTCATTGTTATCAGCGTTATAAAATGAACTGCACCGAACACAATAATATCACACGCAATAATTTATAAATCAAAATCACTGTCAGTTTAATAACGCAATGTGTATTTGAAAAGTTTATCAGATCTACAGATGCACCCGCACTAAGAGAAAAATGTCGAATTCAAAGTGCATGTGTGCGTCCCAAGCCTCAGGCGCGAAGAGGCCGGAGGGAACCCGCCGTGACCGAGAAAAATCGGTTCACCTCCGATAAAAAGTTATCACTCCAAAAATAAAAAATGGGCGGTTTTTTGTTTTTTTTCAGTAAACAAATAAACGGATTTTAATTTATTTTGTCTCAGGTATTTTTGAAACAAAAAAGTATGAAACTTTTTTCTGATAGCATCAACGGTTCAAAAGTTATGCGCAAAAAACGGTTTTTTTAATTATTTAAACAATGTTCAACAGCTGGAAATCGCGCGCTAACTATTGTCCCAATATTCTGACATCCTTCCCAACAATTTCCAATAATTTTTTACCTTCATCCATTTACTAACTACAGCAGTTTCAGGCCTAAAAGTGCACACAGTTTCAGTTTTGAACACTCGCAAAATGTGAACAAGGATTATGTGTTTTGTCAAAACGAAAACGCTACATTTTAAATTTTTTCGAYTTACTTCGGTGCACAATTCACCCCCAATTAGTCGTTGTCTCAATAGCYTCCGCATAGACTTTATGGCAGTTCTGGACGTTTCGAGTCTAGACACCGACCCAGTTCAGAGGTGTTCTGTTCTAGACACATTTTCAGATCTGAGTACTGGCATTCGCAACCTAGAGAAAAGATGCGATTGGATAGATTAGATTATCGTGTTTTGGATTGAAGTGGAAACGCCATCTATGCCATCGAGTTTCCATGCGTGGCGAATCAAAAAGCCACTTTTGCTTCCGATAATCGGCAGTATCAACAAACTCGTCGCAGGAGAAGCAGGGGAACAGTCGGAGAGACAGTGGCGCGCGTTCAACCTCGAAATATTCATTCGCGGGCCGATTCCGAGAACCATCGCCGATCGTTCGCAGTTTATAAATTTGTTCCTAAAATAAATCCTGCCTAGTTTTATTTGATTCAACGGGCGACATCCTGCTGACGGTCAGTGTGTGTGCGATTTTCACGAACATTTCCACTACCAACTACCAATAAGTGATTTGGTACCCCAATAGGTACCAACACGGAAACGCGTTGCAATATTGTTGTTGTTGTGGTGCTAATTTACTGTGCCGTAGCAGCGAGGTGACCTCGAACAGTATTTTTTACATTTCTATTGGATTTAATCATGTCGCTTAGTAAGGTGAGCTATCAAAGATCATCTCCTAATCAATGTGATGATAACACGATTCTGTCTTAACCTGCTAATTTATCACAAATGTGAATGTGGATACAAACAGATCCGCAGCAAAAGTGGACGATACTGACTATAGAAATCATCATTGCGCTCGCCTCGTCGAAACATTATAAATAGTCATGGATGAGAACGAAATAGGTGTGTACATGGTTTGCGTGTTTTATCGCCACTTTTAGTAGAAGCATGCAGTTTGGTTAGTAGCTAAGTAACTGGACCGGAAACTGTTTTGTCTGCTTATCACTAACCTGTTGTGATGGTTTGTTTTAGTTTACCCGCAGCAAACACCAGATTTGCCCAGCAACCATGAACTCTGCGTTTTTTCTGCGTTTTACACCTTACATAGTTTTGCCGCCACAAAAAGACAATAGTACAGTTTCATTGCCCTTCATACAACAATACATGCGTTTTACGCTTCCGCACTGGGACCCTGAATCAATTGTAATTTGCAGAGCATGCAAAAACAATCCGATTTGTAGCCACAATTTACATCAAAACAGGGCAACTCCAGTAGATGCTTCCTCCATCCTGCTGCATCGCTTGCAGCTGCAACTTCAGCTTCAGTTAGCGATACTGCAACTGATGCAGGACGCTGATTAAGCTACAAAACAAACACTTTTTTGTTCACATCTACAGCTTTTACTCCTTCTAGCCCAGATTCTTGTTGGGTTATTTGCTCTTTTCTCGTTCTGTGCTTCCTTTCTGATGTCACATCAGTTGAACTGGCACCGAGATAATCAACCATCTAGCTTCTTTTTAGTCAAAGTTTGGATTTCTTGCCTTGTTTGAAGCTTCAATTGACTAAGTTACTTTGTTCTGCGATCCTGATTTTCCATAGCTTCAGTTTAGAATTGAACAGCTTACAATGGGACCTTTCGGTGCCGCATTACAGGATGCTGAAGTTTCAAGAAATTTATGGTCTTCTTTGTCTTTGTGCGATGTAGAGACTTTATCTTCTAAACACCTTCCATCAACAGCAATAAAACAAGAGCAGAAACTGAAAATTAGCTATGAAGACGAAAACAAACCAAAACAAAAAGTCTTCAGTTCAGAAAATAGCTTGCCGCACCATATTTGCAGAATATTTCCATCGATTTTACGTTTGCGTTGTATAATTTTCAAAATCGATCGAAATCAAAGTTGATGCCGCATTCCTTAAGTGACATTCTTTCTAGTCTAATCGTTCTGTTGATTCTACATGGTCTATCATATTAGGAGTATTTATACAGTTTTTCTACTGAAGTTGGCAACATATGGAAAACTGTTTTATGGTTAATTTTCCGGAAAACGTTATTCTTCATAAATGGTTCTGCATGTTGTAAAATCTTAAAATGCGAACATCAGATATTACCTTTTTCTTATTTTGCACAAGAATAAGGTACATTTATTTCAGAGAAAATCGAAAATTGTTCTTAAAAAAACTTGTTCAGAGCTAAAACTACTTGCTTCCTACTACTTAAACATTTTTTTTACAAATTTTCCTCGCACTACCGAACAGATCTCGAATTTGTATCCTTTTTATTTCTTACAAACGTGATAACTTTTCCTTTCCGTACAAAAAACTAATAAACACATTCTCACGAAGCAAAATTTCCAGGTAACTACACTTATATTTGCATTGGTATTGCAGACAAAATTAGGAAAACCTTTTTCAAATGATACATTTGATCGTAGTTTTTAGTTTTGATCAACTTTTTTAAAAGTAATTTTCGATATTCTCTGAACTAAAGCTAGAAAAAATTCAAATTTCTTGACATTTCCGAAATGTACGTTTTCTTGGAAAAACATTTGTTGGTTTATTTATGTCTTGCTTCTTCGATTTAGAACATACAGTGACTTGCTTGAACTTTTTGAATGCGCTCTTGCACTTCAATTCTTTAAAACACTCTGCATGTTGGAATGTAATATTTTAAGGATTTTTATCACCTCAAATTAAATTTCACCTACAGCTTTACCTTTAAAAAGTAAAAATGAAATCTGATTTAATTACACACTTTTCAGTGTGTTCAGGAACAAACGCTTTTAACGAAATTTACAAGAAAAATTAAAAGACAATTTGAAGGTAAGTTTAAAAACACTTTTCTTCAACAAACTTTGTCTAACACTGCTTCGAATAAATTGGAAAATCTACAACTTTTTGCGATTCTCTATCAACCAATTTTCACAAGACATTTACTATTTCATAAGCTTCTTACCTGTCTATCAAAACCATATGTTTTTGTTCATATATGAATAAGACTGCAGTTCATAAAACAATTAAAACTATTAAGATCAACAACACCAATTATCTATCAAGTTATCTACTTAACCTAGGAATATCGCTAATAATTTCAAATACACTCGAATTGTTTATTACTTGTTTGGCACAGTTGGAAAGGAAAATTTTTACTAAAAACGTAGTTTTAAACAACAAACATAAGCATAATTGAGACATGCGGTAGTACTCAACTTTTATCAATCAACCAAATCGAAAATCGCCCCAATGTCTAGACTGCACTAAGTACGACTAGAGCAGTTGATAAAAAGCAACTTGCCCTGAAAAGTATCCAGTCAATTCTAAATAAAACCCCCAAATGATTTTTCTGGTTACTTGTGGTCTACCCCACAGTAAATATGAGGAGAATTCCACGCAGTGTAAATATGTAAAGTTAAAAAATTAGAACAGAATCACATTTTTTAGTTCAGTTCGACTAGAGCTAATTTTCTAATTTTAAATCATTATTTATTTGACTGCTGAGATGAGCTTCGTTCTGAAAACATTCGCATTTAATTGATTCCTTTAGTTTCAAGTAAATTATCTTTGGAATGCATGAACGCAGCAAATGAATAAACAAATTTGATAATTCCTTACATAATGCTAGTTGTTATAATAAATGACAACATTCGATTATCAAGCACAATGAAAGTAGCTGTGATCTATTTTTAGCGGTGAATGAACACATAAGTTTTGGCAACGTTTTGAAAAGCGTTATTTTCCAATTTCAATGTGCAGGGCTTTCGGTTATATTTACTTAAGTGTCTTTACACATTGCCCAACAGGAACGCGTTTAACTATTTTTTATTGGTATTTATTTTCCGACATCAATAGCTTCTACCGGCGCATCTTTCGTACTAACATGTTTTCCGATTCAAACATCCAGTCCGGAAAGGTGAACAAGTCCCAGCCGCAACAGACTTTGCATCTATTCGAACTAATTATTTTTTAAATTTACCAGTTAGGATCCAAAGTACCCGGAATCGAAAAGTGATCGTTATTTAATTGTTGTTCATTGATAAAATCAAGGAAACTAATTATTTTTCAATTAGTTGCTTTAATACCTCGTCGAGATAGAGGACTTCCTTGGAATAGTTCACTATTGCAGTGCCGCACATACAGCTTTCAATTGCAAGAAAATATTTCTAATTTGTTCAAATTGAAATGAAATTGCAAAGAACGTTCGGCCTTCACCCGGTAGCAGCCGCAGCTTAGAGAACCTAATCTAAACGGCGCAGCCGGGCTTAGTCGCGATGCGAGGGAGCGAGAGGCATTGATAGATGGTGGTTGGGATCAGGATGTCTTTGTCCCACAAGGCCGATATACCAGGGCGCTGTAAAAAGTAGCATTTGAAGTAGCAGCATTTTCGACATAAATGCCGCTTTTACACTACGCACTTTTCTCAGATTTGTTCGCTCATAAAGCGGGATTATTATTGAAGGTGATGTTTTTGGTCGTCATCAGTTGGATATTGTTGTATTAAATTGGTGCGGTTTCGGTAACTTTAATTTTTGATATATTGAAATTTGAAAAATTTGTCACAGATATGCAAATGAAAAAAAAATCTGAAATAATTCCCAATACGCTCTAAGTCCCCAATAAATCGTAAGATCTCCAGTGGGCCAATTTAGTGGCCAATAAATCGGAAAAAAGTGCGAAGGATGAAATTTCGGCATAAAAGAACAAAAATTTCTTTTAAAAATTCAAGAATAATATGAATGATGCAATGCACGAAAATGTATGGTCGAACATGTATCTTCAAATATGAAAAAACCATTCTGGTTAAGTTGAGTCTCCTAGAAAACGCTGTCCATCAATTGCCAATTTTGTACACTTTTTAAAACATTTTCTTAAAACTCAAGCAACCCGTCAAACCGTTCAAATGTGCCATTCAATACATACAAGATAAGCACTTACAAACCACCTCTGTAAATTTTTCGATACAAAACTGCCAGTTGATTAGAGTCATTTGTCAAAGAAAGCGTATTTGAAGTAAAAACATCAGCCTTCTATGATAAAGTGGAATTTTATGCGAATTTAGATTGCATTCGATTGTGTTGCGGTGATTGTTGTCTAAAGTATTCAGTTTAATAAAAAATATTTATGAGACGAAAATCTACATTTAAGGGGATTTCTGACGGGAAGTTCTTTTTGAAAAAAGTCAAAAAATCGATCAACGTTTCGTGGCTTTAAAGGCGAAAACCCCTCGAAAAAGTGACTTGAGTATAAATCACTCATTTAAAAAAAAATTATTACATAAGACTAATAAATAACTATTTCACTGGTTAACAATGTAACTATGTTAAGATATTCTTTTACGTTGCTTATGTCGTGGCAGTCACGTTACTTTGACGTACAGTTTTACGTCTTTTCCATGTCATTGTCACATTTTACATCTTAACTTTTATATTAATTGAGTAAGTAATTTAAAAGGCGGTAATGCGCTCTGTAACACAAATAAATAAAACTAATTAAGCCAAAGTTAATGAAAATTCAATACAGTTTCAAATTGAAAATCGAAATTTTGATGAATATGATGCCGGATTGTGCAAAAGTGCCTTCTTAGCCCAAACTCACTTTACTTTTCCCAAATCACTTTGTCCTGTTTTTTTTTGGATTCTCTGCAACATTCAGAAGAGCTTTTCTTTGGGGACATTATGTAAAAGAAAATGAGCAGTTTTGAAATATACGCGAATTTGGCGTGATTCTGATTGAAATTTGCCGAGAGTGAGTGGTTTGATTAGTCATCAGCGAGGTCATTTAGTAATAACTGATCAGTTTCTAAAATCGTTCTATATTCTTGTCACAAGATACGGATCGACCTGTCCAGCAGCACGTACTTGATTAAATAGGTGGCGATTCAAATTGATTATTGTGATCCGCAGAACCTAAAGAAAGCTGCTCTAAGGTGACAGCCGAATGGAGTTAAACAAAAATACTAGGGAAAAGTAGTTTGTTGTAGAAAGGCATGTTACTAGTCTGAGGACTGCTTTTTGTGGGCTGTTTAATTTTAAAAAATCTCTTTTCTGATGTTAGTGGAGTTTTTTTTCCTCTTTCCAAACACCCTGTGGATAAATGTTTTTTTGTTTTTCTAGGTAGCAGCACAGATGCATTAGGAGAGCGGCCCTATGATGCAACCCACCTAAGTGATGTCAGTGAGTATTTTGCATAAAGAATTTCTCATTCCCTTAAAATTGTGGTCACGCTGTAATAAATTGGCTGTCAATGTGTGATGGTTCGGTAGCTGAGCTGAAATATTTATACATCAAGCTTAAAATAACCTGAATCGTGCAAACCTGCCCCGTTTCGCCTGAACCGTGAAGCCTCCGTATTAATATTTTAGATTATGTTTTCGCGTGGGGGTTTAAAGCGTGCTTAAAACACACGTTAAATTATGCAGTTCTTACGAAATCGCGCTTGACCAGAAGTTTAATTTATTCTCAAAAGGTTCGCCAAAGAGAAATGTACGGGCGACAATAACGTTAGATGACCTTTTCTTGACCACAATGAGCTGTATCAGAGTGATTGTTGCTTTTTCAACATTAATTTGCATATTGTAAAAGATTCCCCAGAATTTCCAGCCAAATGAAGTAAACTTTTAATAATTCCATTAATTAATAACAATCCACTTACCACAATTGCAGCTTGAATAAATTGAAATGCCAATGTGATAGAATAGAGCGGATTAGGGATCGGCTTTTTGTGCTAACAAAACGCAAATTTCTTCAAACTAACGCTGATTAGCGCCAGCCAGTGATCACTGAAAACTACAAAAGCCTGAGTTTTAACCGATATTCACGTGTTTACCTTTGAAAACCGGGCAATAATTCAACGATTGAGCTTCACGCAAAATGCCATAATTAACTATTTCTGGTTTGATGCATTTGTTTATATTCCGGTTTGCAACCGGTTTTTCGCATGCTAATTGCCAAATACCAGTGTTTTAGGAGGATTTATAGGAACATTTCCATGCGTTGGATATTAAGAGTGTTAAAGAGTTATATTGCCATAGTTTGCTTTTTAAAATCGTTTATTGCACTTATCAGAATTTTGTTGAAATATTTGCAATTGAATATCGCTAAAACTTGGAGATGCGAATTTTTTTAAGCAAGTGTTTAAACTGATGACGGAACAGCGTTTTTTGAAAGGTTCCCCATAACTCAAACTGATGCATTTTTTGCAACAAGCAAGAATGCTGCGCTTAAAAAAATTAAAAAAATACCTTGATAATCGAATGAAACTCTTCCGTAACATTTCAGCTCTTGGCCCGAATAACTAATTAATTTCCTACCTGCTAAACGATTAGAGAAATCCCCTAATAGTTCAATGGAATTCATGAATCATTCAGTATTAGCAAACTGCCGAATTTGCATATCTATTTCGAATTATCGAGAACAGTTGCGCGGAAGATCTACCAAAAAAATGTTCGTCATTTTCCGTGTAATTATTTCAAAAAAAATGTAAATCAGTGATTAACAGTATGTTGGCTTTGTTTCAGTTGAAGTCATTAAGGAGACTGACCCGGACTTTAAAGAGTCCAGCAGAGGGACCCGAAGTGAACAGACAGCAAGGCCCATGTTGAACGGAGGTGGGCAGATTTCTGTGCCCCCACAACAACAACGCAGTTCAGGGGCATCCAGACGAAGGCATCCTGCTGAAGTTCGGGTAAGTTAAGTGTAATGCCAAATTCTTTTGTCAGTCTTAAAGTGGAGGGTTTAAGTAAAGCAACTGTTGAGCCTTCATGTTCATTTAAGAGCCAAATACATTGTCGCTTTTAAATATCAAATTTATAGTTCTGCGCTTATCTTTCGGGTCAATTCGCCAGCGACTCACCAAAGATTATCTAAATTTACAGTTGTATATTTCGAAAAAATGCTCTATACTGGGTGCGTTCATTAATGATGAGCGAACATTCAAAAGGGCGACTCTACATGCAAAACTATTGGGAATTTCGACGATGATCGAAAAATGTTCCTTTTTTTAAATCAATCAATTTATTAAGCAGGGCAGTTGTAAACGCGCATGTCTTTCCATAGTTATAGTCATTTTAATCATCAAGAAATAACGTGAAATGTAACACATTCCTATGAAAATAGTTCCACACGTTTTATTGTTTTTTCCACACAAAATCAGGTAAAAAGTGTGATCATATTTTTTTGTGAATACAGTAAAGTCCGCTTATAATGAACCCGGTTATAGTGAACTTTTAGTTAAAACGAACTTTTTTTCTTTAATTGAAACGTCGTCCATAAAGACCAACGTATTTTTTACTGGTTATAACGAACTTCCGGATACAACGATCACTTTTTAGGTTAGTTGTATATTATCACTTTCCGTTTATAACGAACTTCCACGCTCAGCAACACCAATCGTGCGGAGTTGTTTATATTAGCGAGAGCGAGAGACAGGCAGTGACTTGTTGTTTTTTGCCGCGTTATGTATGTAAATCGTTTTAGAATGGAACAACGAAAACGCAAAGCTTTTTCACTAAATGAAAAGTACGAGATTATTAACAAAATAAAAAGTGGAGTAAAACAGAGTGACATTTGTAAGGAATTTGCACTTGGAAAGTCTACTGTTGCAACAATATGGAGAAACAGAGAAAACATTTTATCAGCGTATGACAAAACAAATGTTAGATGTAGGAAGTTAAAATTATCTGCACATGAAAAGGTTGACAAGGGACTTATTAAGAGGTTTACTCAAAAAAGCCAAGAAGACGTTCCCATAAGTGGCAGTGTTTTGCAAGAAAATGCTAGTGAAATGGGGAGTAAAATCAAAAACAAAGAGTTTGCTTGTTCTAAAAGTTGGGAAGAGCGTTTCAAGAAGAGGCATAATATCAGCAGGGAAAAAATTGGTGGAGAGTCTGCCGGTGAAAAATTCTTCTTATGAAAGCGTTAGAGGCGATCGATAAAAATGAAACATTTTCTATAAATCTCTTAGATGCAGTCAATTTCATTCATAGAGCTTGGCAAAAAGTTAGCCGAAAA